GGAAGAAAACAGAGTTTGGAGAGGTGAACTCAGGTAGCGAAGTCACACAGCTAGGAAGGTCAGAGCTGCTGCATTGAAACACAGGATTTGGCCCCATGGCTCTCAGCTGTACCCAAGATACTCTCTTGCCTTCCTGAACCTGCAGGAACTTGGAGCACTGGGAGGAAGTAAAGGGGCAAACTTGTCCGCCTTACTTTTAGAAGGCTGTCCTGATTCTCTGAGTCCCAATCTGGGGTGTGTGTGTGTGTGTGTGTGTGTGTGTGTGTGTGTGTGTTTGTCTAAGAGAGAAATTTCAGCTGACCAGTGAGGACGGAAGTTTCTGGACATCAAAACCAGAGCCCAGGATGGAGGGCTGGAGGCAGACCGGGGTCCTGTTAGGCTAATTCCTGCCAAGGCTGGCAGAGGCTATAGCGGGAACTTCTGAGAAAGTGGAGAACAGTCCTTTCATATGGCCTCCCTTTGAGCTGGCCTCAAGGTGGGACCTGGGTCGGGTGGGTGGAGGGCGGGGAGTGTGTGGAGAGGCTAGGCTGAAGTTGGGCTGGGCAAACAGATTGGGCAGCAACTGTGAGCACAGAGCATCCATTGTGTATCCCAAGCTCTGCTTTCAATAATCCACTTGGAAGAATGTTTCATTGAGCGCCAGAGAAAGGAGTCATTGAAATGCCCAGTTGGGGTCCCATGAAGGGTTAAAAGCAAGGAGGCCCCAGTGCCCAGCCTTTGCCACTCCTCCCTCACATGTTGGATTCGGGACCCTGGTCACTAAGACAGAGGGCACTTAGTAAGACCACCAAGAGAGACAGGAGCGAAGGTCAGGGTACAGGCGTATTCCTCAGAAATTTGAAAAGGGGGTGCCCCTGTATCTAGAAGGAAAATGCTTTTCTTCCCAGAACTATTTTGCCCAAATAATACCCAGAAAGAACTGGCCTTGGATCCCGGTCTGCCTGCCCACAGGGAGGGCAATTCACATGGGCAGCACTTTTCTACCTAAATCACTCATGTGGGTAATTACACAGGCCCTTGCAATGTCTTCTTTACCACCTCTGACCTTTCCATTAGTCATTAATTAATTTATAATGAATGATGCACTAGTTGGGAGTGTGGGGGTGAAAATGAGAACCAGTGAGAATCAGAGAACCAGAAAATGAGAATTACATTAGTTGACAGGGAGCCTGTGGAATTTTCTCTTGCAGAGGTCTCTGCAAGTAAAGAAGCTATTCATTAGGAGGAAACAACTTAACTGCTGGAAAGGGCACCAGAAGTGGCATTCTCTCGCCCACACCGTGTGCTTCTTTCCTGAGTGCCACTTGTCCTTTTAAGCTGCAGAGGCTTCTGGGGTTTGAGCTGGAGGGAACTTACAGTGGCATAGTGGTCTGCAAGGGGAGGGAGGCAGGTGCTAGGTTGCTGGCCCTGTGGAGCGCACTCTCCAGCAACACAGGCTCTCTCCTCATTACCCAGCTCCTTCCTCCCTCTTGCTTCTCACTGTGGGCCCTCCTCCCCCCAACCTACCCATTCCAGAGCCAGCATCTTCAGGGAGGATTCTCTGCACCAAAGACTGAACTTGAGCTATGACCTCATTCTAGTGTTTGGGATGGCTTAACTAGCGCATTCATAAAAGGAATGCTGAATAGGATTTAATGACAGTAACCCATCATTCTTTTCTCTGCTGGGCTATGATTTGGTGATGCCTTGGTCTGTTCAGATGGATCAGCTTTCTGCTCCTATAGCAAATGACCCTGAACTCCCAGGCTTTTGATATCAGTCTGATTAAAAAAAATTTATTTATTTATGCACACAGAACTGGGGTGCAGGCCAGAGGTGCAGGGGTGGTGAGAAGATTCACCAGAGACAGAGCAGGGAGCAGAACAGGCAGATCATTGAAGTACACTGCTGATGAGAGCGAGGGCGGGTCAGGAGAGGTCTGCTGCGCCATGTGGGTCACCTCTGGGGCGGGGATTGAACTCATGCTGAAGAGGCTTTAGCTTCTCAGTGCTGTACTTTAACCCGCTGCACCACCAGGGAGGGCCCATCAATCCGATTTTATGTCTACTCTTCTGTTTCTCACTAATGTTTTCACTGTGACATATATTACTATAAGACCACTGCATCACATCACCTTCATATATATCCCCTCAGAGCTGTTCCCAATATTCTTGGGTTGGAAAACTACTCATTTGTTTTAAAGAATTGTGTATAAGAGTTTAGAGAATTGTGTATAGAGTAGGTTTAGAGTAAGGAAGTCCTGTGGAACTCTCCTCTGGGATAAGGGCTTGAACCCTGACAATTATGTAGTTCAGAGGCCTTATATATTCTTTTTTAGGTCTTTGAGTTGGTCTAGCTGGTCTGGAGTTGACCTCCAGAGGATGGACTACAGGGTCAATTCAGTCAGAAGGAAATAATAGTTGTACTTTGAGAATTTTAATTCTAAGGTGGTCAAATAAATGCACACACCATTACCATGAGCCCCACCCCAAGCAATGATAAACAAATCCACCATACTAATTCATTTCTTTTACTAAATTTTAAATTTCTGCATCCTAAAAATTCATTGGAAGCAATATTTCTTGTTTTTTTTTTTTTTAAAGATTTATTCATTTATTCATACAGAACTGTGGTACAGGCCAGAGATGCGGAGGGTGAGAGGATTCACCAGAGACAGAGTGGGGAGCAGAACAGGCAGGTCAACGAAGTACACTGCTGAGGGGAACAGCGGGCGTGAGGGTCAGGAGAGGTCTGCCAGGACATGTGGTCACCTCTGGGGCAGGGGTCGAGCTCATGCGAAAGTGGCTTAAGCTTCTTAGTGCTGTGCTTTAATCTGCTGCGCCACCAGGGAGGGCCTGGAAGCAATATTTTTAAGGGTTGTGATAGTCTATTAGTTTTTCTCCTTAGTTTGGGTCAGGAATCCCTGTTACACTTGCTCTGCTTTTTGTTTCATGAGGATCCCAGTCCTTTTTGGAGTCTGATTTCATCAATGGATATCCACAGGAAGTAGCAAAACTACACACTGCCATATCTGATCTGCATTTCATGTGCAGACAGGAGTGTTTTAACGAAGCTGTCACTGGGGTTGAGTGGACGTAGACCTATGTAGATGTGGGGATAGATCTTCCCCACATAGGGTGGATATTCCTGCTGTCAATTATTTTGGGAGCAGGTAGCTTGTGAGACAGAAAGTGCAAAGGGGAGCTTAGCTGGAGAAGGCCGAAACCTGTGGGGTTTGGACTTGAGTTGGGTGGGGCTGATGGCCTCTTGGCCACGCAGAGATCTGCAGCCTGGTAGGTGCATCTCCAGAGTTCTTTCACCCAGGTGGAGTCCCCACCCTGACTCCTTGCCACTTCTCCCAGTGTCTGGAGCATGCAGAAAGAAGGTCTGCCCACCTCCTCTGACCAAGGTCTGTGACAATGCCAGGAGTGAACCACCCAAGCTCCTCTGCTGTCCAGTAACTTGTCCCTCTTTGACCTCAGCACAACCTTGGGCCGAAGCCTCCGGAAGCACCATTTTAGCAGCATTCCCCTCAGGAGCCTGTATTTTTCCTGTCTGTCCTCAACACTTCTTCTGCTGGAACAACAGGCTCAGTTTTCCCTTCTGATAAATCTGGTCACCCTAAATATGGGACACAGAGCAAACAGGAGGGGCTGGCCCCACGCAGCCCTCATTTTGAAATGCAGATTCACTTGCGCTGCTATTTTGGAGGTCTGGTTTCTTTTCTCCACACACAGTGGTTTTAAGGAAGAGGGAAGGGACCTGGGCAGAATCTTGCCAGGGGAAAGATGCCAGGAGGCAACACACCTGGGCAGTCTTTGTTTCTCAAATCTCTCCAAACACCAGCCCTTCCAGAAGTTCTGTGAAAAAGAGGGTCCTTGGTCCCACAGAATTGGGAGATGCAGCTTTACCCTCCTTCCTCCTTGGGTGCCCCATAGAAAATATTTGAAATCCTTGTAGCAAAGAAGCCTAACTGGTTTTGTTTAACTCAGTCCTCCCATTTGAAGGTGTAGTTGGGTGAAAATTTGGAAAACAATGATGCAGAGCCCAAGCCCGGCAGGGCAAGACCTAAAATACTTCTCATTTACATTAGATTTGGCCTGCTTGGTGCTAAATTTTGCTTTAAATTAGTTACTGGTACCTGACCCTTGAAACATTTCTCATAATGATGTGGCTGGCAGATTGGAAACTCTGGTCTGCATGTTTGCATCATGACCACCCTGGGCAGTGGCTGCACCTCCCTACCTGCCTCTCAGTCCATCAGGGCAGTCCTGTAGCTTTCTGGGCCCAGGAGTCCCCCAACCTTGCCTGCTCTCTGCTAGGATTTCTTCGGGTGGGACTCGGCCTGGGGGGACTCGGGACTCATTCATCTATTCATTCACGAAGCAACGTGGGTTCTGTAGACACAAGATGTACCACACAGCCCCTGCCCTCTGGACTCCAGGCGTGGGTGCTCTGTGAGACTAGCTGTGAATTGCGGGATGAGGAAAGGGAGGGTGGAGAGGGAAACCGACAGGACCACCACCTGGTTTCCTGGTCTCCGAGCTCCAGTCTCCGGTACTGGCCAAAGTCGCCCCAATTCTCCATGACTGTCTCTACTGAATCTGCTACTCAGACAGCCCCCGTGAGCCCAGGACAGAAGTCAACAACTTGCTTTGTGAGTTCCTGCCCATCTCGTGGCCTCGGTTTCTCCAACTGTGGCGTGACCCGGTTGGAACAGAAAATTTTGCGCGTCCCTTCCAGGGCTGGCACTCAGAGATGCTAAGACTCCAAGTTCCAGGAATGTCTGACCGGGCCATTTCGGAGCCGTTCTGTCGAATTCCTAGCAGCCTAACCTCCCTCCTTTCCAGGGCGGGGGCTGGAGCCAGAGGGCCGTGAGGGTCTGGGCTTCCCGCCCGGGGGCGGAGCCGCCGTTGGGCGTCCCGCCCCTCCACCTGGGGCTCGGCCGCGGCAGATGTTACAACTTTTTCGCATTCTCTCCAGTGGGTCTCCCCAGACCCGCCCAACCCGTGCCTCCCGCCCCTTCCCCGCCGGGGTCCTGCCCGCCTCCCTGCGGGGAGTCCGACAGTTCTCCGGACTGCGGGAGGGGCGAGAGGCCGGGCGGGGGGCTGGAGGGTCGAGGGGAGGAGAAAGGGAAAGTAGAAGCGAGAGAAATTAGGAGGCGGGGGAAATCGAGGGCTGGAAGGAAGAAGAGAGTCAGAGGATGGTGCAGAGCACTTTTGGGGAGCTGCCACGCCGCGTCTCAGGCTGGCCTGGCTGAGCTGCGGGAGCCGGAGAGAGAGCAGCGCAGGGCGGGCGCGCGGCGGCGGGGAGCAGCTCCCGGCGGGCCTGACCTTTCCAGAGCGCCCCGCTGCGGCCGCACTAGTCCGGCCTCGCCGTCCAGTCAGCGGACTGGGACCCGGCCGCTGGGCCACCATTGGGGCGCTTAGCCCCCTCACTGCCCCCCGGCTCGGCAGGCCGGCGTGCGGCCAGTGCGCCCTGGGCGCGCGAGGCGGTGAGACCCGGGAGCCCTGCGCAGCTGGACGCGCGGGCTGGGATGGCGATGCATGCCCTTACTGGCTTCTCGCTGGTCAGCCTGCTCAGCTTCGGCTACCTGTCCTGGGACTGGGCCAAGCCGAGCCTGGTAGCCGATGGGCCTGGAGAGGCTGGTGAGCAGCCCTCGGCCGCTCCGCCCCAGCCGCCCCACATCATCTTCATCCTCACAGACGACCAGGGTTACCACGATGTGGGCTACCATGGCTCCGATATCGAGACCCCTACGCTGGACCGACTGGCGGCGGAGGGTGTCAAGTTGGAGAATTACTATATCCAACCCATCTGCACCCCTTCACGGAGCCAACTTCTCACTGGCAGGTAGGCATGGCCCAGGCTTCCGAGGCTGCCCTCCAAGCCTCTAAATAAACCCAGTTGGTAGATTTCCTCTACACTTACAAAACTAGGTAGGTTTCAGGGCGATTTTTTTCTGCGGTGGCCTGGGTGATAGTAAGTCCTTTGCCCTCTCTGGGCCTCAGTTTCCCTACTTGCACACTGAATGGGTTGGATCATCTCTGAGGTTTTCTCCCTCTGATGTTTTAGGACACTCACACTTCATAACGTGTGAAGGAGACATCTGGTCATCCCTTTGTGAGAGGAAAGTGGCAGCCTCTAACACAGGTTTGCTCTCTGCTGGTCACTTGGGACCTGAGCAGGTCACTTTCAAAGCCTCAATTTGTTCTTAATATGGGGAGAAGAATAGTTTTGATCTTCCAAAGAAGCAGAGAAGATGGCATGTATTGCATGTAACCTGTGGGTTTCTCAGTAAATAGTAACTTCTGTGTCACTGGAGGAATTAGGGTCCCCGAACTGTTAGATGACTATATTGGAAGAAAAGCAAGGAATTTCTAGGTGAGGAGAAAGACACAGAAGTGCCTAACCTAAATGAAAGAGTACCCCCAGGCTAGTGTCTTCATTTCCCTAAGCATCTGACTTATCTGTGACTTGGGGGTGGAGGGCTAGTTGGTGGGAACCCCCAGGAGCAGTGCTCTTTTCTCCCATCAGGATTTGTCCACAGGCAAGGGGGTAAGATTACAGGATTAGAAGAGCAGAGAAACAGGAGGTGGGGTGTGGTAGGCAAACTCTAGCCACTTTAGAAGAAAATCCTTTGGCAAGGCTGAAGCTAATCCTCTTTGGACAGGGTCCAAGGCAGGCTTTCTCCGGAGTTCCTCCCCAAAGCCCTAGTCTCCCTGTTTCCTCGATTGGCAAAACTGAGGTGGGCAGGTGGGGAGGGTCTAATTTGGCACCTGTGCCCAACACCTTCAGGGTCTGCAGGAGAAGGCCTGAGAGGCCCCTAGCTTTGGTGGGGGGTGGGGGAAGTCACTGTCAAAAGTCACCTCTTCTTCCTTCTTCAGTTTAGCACTTAGTGCCTGGATCCAGGAATAGGGAGAGGGAGAAAGAGGAAGAGGGGCTAGTGGATGTGTGCCTGGTGGGAGCTGCAGTGATGGAGGTGAAGACCAGGTAACCAGTAGCATCGAGGGGAGGAGGAATCTGCCCTCCTGGAAGTTATATGCAACATTTCTCTCTGAGAGGGGACTTTTGATTTAAGCAGGGGAATGAGCAGGGCAGTGCTCCAGCTCAGTGCTCCAGCTCTGATGCTCCTGCTCCTGCTCTGAGTGTGGCTGGGCTCTGCCTGTCTTCCGCCGCCTGCAGTGGCTCCATCAGCATCTGGATGCCGGGTGCTCTCACTAGTGTTTGTTAAAGCATCCAGCCCTGTTTGGTGAGCCTGAAGAGAGCCGTTTCTCATGTTACTCACTTGCAAAGGAATCTCAGTGACTCAGAGGGGCTCATCCACTTTACAAGCCTGTATCCACGGCCCCTGTCCTTGCTAAGACTCAGCATTGAGGTTGCTTTTTGTATCAAGTCCAGTGGTTCATTCGTTGACTGACCTCAGCTAAGGGCCAAGCTCAGTTTCACTGTTTATCTGCTGTCTGGACTTCGGTCAGTTGTTGCACTTTGGGGAGCCTCAGTTTCGTCATCTGTAACTTGGGCTGAAGTTGGCTGAGGATCACTGAGACCATGGAAAGGGAAACCATGGAGAAACAGGGCTACTGTGTTTAAAACATTAACCACTTTAAGATGAGGGGGAAAAACAAAGAAAACCTGCCTCAGTGCCCATTTAGAGGTGTTAGGGGTTGAGATCTTGGCTTACCTTGGTTGTCTGGGAGAGGAGAAAAGGGTGTGGGATTCTAACACACTCCAGGCATCTTTTTTACTATGAGACTTTTTTTTTTTTTAAAGATTATTTATTCATACAGAACTGGGGTACAGGCCAGAGATGCGGAGGGTGAGAGGATTCACCTGGGACAGAGTGGGGAGCAGAACAGGCAGATTGACGAAGTACACTGCTGAGGGGAGCAGCGGGCGGATCAGAAGAGGTCTGCCATGCCATGTGGTCACCTCCGGGGCAGGCGGGAATCGAACTCATGGGAAAGTGGCTTAAGCTTCTTAGTTCAGTGCTTTAACCCGCTGCGCCACCAGGGAGGACCTACTATGAGACTTTTAAGACCTGAGTCAAGACAAGACAACACAGCAGACACATGGGGCCTTGAATGCAGTGTGGGCTGGGGAGGGTGGGATATGAGTGAATAAATGAGGAGGGCACGATTCTGCTAAGCACGAGCTCCTGCCTTGGGCATGACCTGTGTAAGTGACCCAGATCCAGAGGCCACATGAACTTGCAGTCAGGTACCTGAGAACTGACCTCATAATGTTTGGAAACTGGAAGATTTCTAGAGTGCTCCCATCTAATCAATTCATTCCTGCACAGGAGCAGCTGAGGCTTCCAGGGGGGAGAGAAGTGGCAGCGCCCTTTTGCCAGAAAAAGGTCTGGGCATCGATTCTGCTTGAATTTATGTTTAAGTTCCTGGGTCTGCCTCTGATCTCTAAGTGATCTTGGGCAACGTCCTTCCCCTCCTCTTAGTTTCTTTTAGTTTTCTCAGTTAAAAACTAGAAAACGACTTGGGTCTCTGGGGCTTTAAGATCCTGAGCATCATTCATTCATTCACTTGTCCCATCAGTAACTGAGTGTCTTTTAAACATCCCTTCAGTGTTAGGAATACACAGTTGAGTAAGTTGCAGTCTTGTTAGACCTCTTTGGGCCCAGGACTATGTATAACTGAGTATGATCCCATGACCAAGCAGGACAGTGATGTGTGCTCTTCATGCTGAGGGGACCCCCATCTCCTCTTTCATTCTTTGATGGAGCTGTGAAAAACTTTTCAGTGGACGTAACCTGTGGGATGGGCTTTGAAGGTTGAATAGAAGTTTGCCTGGAGAACAGAACTTGCTGACACTCCCTGGCTGGGGTGAGGGGGGTGTCTCAGGGACTCTGAATTCTGGAACCAAAGCCAGACACAGGTCCCACTTACAATTATTGTGTGAATGACGGGGCAAATTATTGAATTTACTGTATCGCAGTTTCCTTATTTGGGGAATGGAATAACAATGATATGCATTTTATAGTTTGTCGTGAAAATGTAGTGAGCTAATTTATATAAGGAGCTTGGCATCGTGCTGAGCACACACTGAGTGCTTGGTGTTAGCTGCTGTTATAATTGTTGTGGGTTCTTTTAGGGTTCAATTCTTAACTCCCCAAATTCCGAGATGTGTGAGCCTCAGTAAGTGGCTCGACCGTTCTGAGTATCAATCTTCTGATCAGTAAAATAGCCATGACATCTGCTTCATTTGATTTTGAGGGTTCAGTGCATTGGAAGTGCTTGGCCCACTAGGTGATAGTACTGGAGTGACTTAGCATGATGGCTGGGAGGGCCGAGTCCAGAGTCCACCTCAGCGTGAGTTTTGGGGGTTGGTTGGTTAGAGCTCAGGTTTCTAGCTCAGCTGTGCCTTCTGTGACCCCATCTTTCCCCAGGTACCAGATCCACACGGGACTGCAGCACTCCATCATCCGCCCACGGCAGCCCAATTGCCTGCCCCTGGACCAGGTGACGCTGCCCCAGAAGTTGCAGGAGGCAGGTTATTCTACACACATGGTGGGCAAGTGGCATCTGGGCTTCTACCGGAAGGAGTGTCTGCCTACCCGCCGGGGCTTTGACACCTTCCTGGGCTCGCTCACGGGTAACGTGGACTACTACACCTATGACAACTGTGACGGGCCGGGAGTGTGCGGCTTCGACTTGCACGAGGGTGAGAAAGTGGCCTGGGGGCTGAGCGGCCAGTACTCCACCATGCTCTATGCCCAGCGTGTCAGCCACATCCTGGCCAACCACAGCCCCCGACGGCCCCTCTTCCTCTACGTGGCCTTCCAGGCGGTGCACACACCTCTGCAGTCCCCTCGCGAGTACCTGTACCGCTATCGCACCATGGGCAACGTGGCCCGGCGGAAGTACGCGGCCATGGTGACCTGCATGGATGAGGCTGTGCGCAACATCACCTGGGCCCTCAAGCGCTATGGCTTCTACAATAACAGTGTCATCATCTTCTCCAGTGACAATGGCGGTCAGACCTTCTCGGGGGGCAGCAACTGGCCCCTGCGAGGACGCAAAGGCACCTACTGGGAAGGCGGTGTGCGCGGCCTGGGCTTCGTCCACAGCCCCCTGCTCAAGCGGAAGCGGCGGATAAGCCGGGCACTGGTGCACATCACTGACTGGTACCCAACCCTGGTGGGGCTGGCAGGTGGCAGTGCCTCGGTGGCTGACGGGCTGGACGGCTACGATGTGTGGCCGGCCATCAGCGAGGGCCGGGCATCACCGCGCACAGAGATCCTGCACAACATCGACCCACTCTACAATCACGCGCGGTACGGCTCGCTGGAGGGTGGCTTTGGCATTTGGAACACAGCCGTGCAGGCCGCCATCCGGGTGGGAGAGTGGAAGCTGCTCACAGGAGACCCTGGCTATGGAGACTGGATCCCGCCGCAGACACTGGCCGCTTTCCCAGGCAGCTGGTGGAACTTGGAGCGGATGGCCAATGTCCGCCAGGCCGTGTGGCTCTTCAACATCAGTGCTGACCCCTATGAACGGGAGGACCTGGCTGACCAGAGGCCCGATGTGGTCCGAGCCCTGCTGGCCCGCCTGGTGGACTATAACCGCACGGCCATCCCCGTGCGCTACCCAGCTGAGAATCCCCGGGCCCATCCTGACTTTAATGGGGGTGCTTGGGGGCCCTGGGTCAGTGATGAGGAGGAAGAAGAGGAAGAGGAGGAAGGCAGGGCTCGAAGCTTATCCCGGGGGCGTCGCAAGAAAAAATGCAAGATTTGCAAGCTGCGATCCTTCTTCCGGAAGCTCAATACGAGGCTGATGTCCCACCGTATCTGAATGGGCTGGGGGGAGGGGGAGGTGAGACCCTCTGGCCCCTAGAGGGCTTCCCCACTCAAGCCTGGCCTGCTGCTATGCAGGCAGGCGCCTAAGTCAAGTTCCCCCTGCAGGTGAATGGAGGGCAGAGAGCACCTCAATTAAATGGTGGGGAACTTGGCTTGGGGGTGAGGAGAGAGCAAAATGCAATGGGATGCCTAAATCCTAATCCTGCCTCATCGTGGTCTTGTTCTGTGAGCTTAGTGACCTACACAAACTCTCTGAGCCCCAGTTTCCTCATCTGCAAAGTGAACTCTAATGACTTTGTGACTGTGTGCTGGCCTCGGGGTATGGGTCTCTGTGGAGAACCAGCTGCCCTCACCACCTCACAGCTTATCCAAGGCCTCATCCTAGAACCTTGGGCCTCTGTGGCACTACTTAGGTGAGGGTCCACATGGAGGCACCTCCAGACCTGGACCTCAGCCCAGGCCAGGCCTTCTTGCTCTCTGAAAGGATCCCCTGAGTGCTTGAGAGTGGGGATGAAGGAACAGGAAGGAAACCTTCCTGGGACCTCATGTGGACCAGGCCTGGGGGCAGATGGCTGTGGGTGGTGGTGGGGGTCTCCTTCCTGGCCTTAATACCTGGTCCATGGTTCGATGCTGCAGGACAAAAGATGGGGGAAATAGCTGTGTTAAAGAGCCCCTGAGCCAACAATCAGGGCTCCTAAATTGTCCTTTAACCTTGGGCCCTGTCCTGCCCCTCTGGGCCTTGATTTCCCCACCTGCCAATGGAGATGCTGTCCCTGACTCTGCCTACCTCCCAGGACTGTGGGAGACTGGCCAGAGTAATGGTTGTGGAGGAGTCATGAACTTGATTAAAATGCAGAAGCACAGAAGCCAGGGCTGCAGCGCTGTCTGTGAGCACATTTGGAAGTGTGCATGTTGGGCCTGGGACAGGTGTTGGCTAAGTGGATGGGGGGGGATTTGGGCAGCCTCACCAGGGGGTTCAACCCACAGGCTTTGGTCCAGCCCTCCCACATAGCTGCTGTGTGGCCTCTGGCAAACCCCAGAGCCTCTCTGGGTCTCAGCCTCATCCATGTGCAATGGATGATCTAAGAGCCCCTTCTGCTTGGCCATTCTGGGTGCCCCAGGGTGTGGAGTGGGGTGGGGTGGGGGAGGCCGCAGGATTTCAGAGCCTGCTTTCTGTACAGTGCGCCTCCATCCGCACACTGCGTTCTGCACGTCTCCCTTCAGGTTCCAGTCGGCGCAGCGTGTGTAGGCGAAAGCCCTGCTGTGAATTTTGAAAATAGTTATTTTTGTCGCTGGCAAAGGAGGCCTGTTAGGACTCGTCAGCTTGTGGATGAGCGGGACGGGTGGGGTGGGGTGGGGTGGGTGCTGTTCAGTGTGTGTGTGGGGACAGAGCTGCATGCCCCCTGTAGAGGCTGAGCTCTTAAGTAGGGGTGTGGCTGGGGTCTGCATGTTCTGGTGCCTCCCTCCCTGCAATCTTTATCCTTTTCCCACTACCACAGTGGCACCTTTTCTCTGTCCTGAGACTGTTGACCCCAGGCTTTTGTGGGACTCCTAGCATTTCTGCCAGCTCAGAAGCAGCTCTGAAGAAGTTGCCCCTTGGATTGGTGTCCTAAGCTCAGCAAACCCCAGCAATGGGTTGTCTATCAATTGCCTGTTAGCCAGGGTTTCCAGTTCTTAACCCATCTGTGTAGGCTGGGCCCTTCCAGCAGGGCTGGAGACAGGCTCCCCTGCGACTCTAGGTGTGCCCCAATTGAATGGAGGCCTCTTCCATGTGTGTTTCGTGAGCCCTTCCCCAGGTGGCCAGCCTGGGCCGCTTGGCTTCTGTTTCTGGGCCTCTGTCTTTTGGAGCGACAAGTGCAGAAATGTAAAGCTCCCTTTCTGTTTTCCCCTAGTCACCGAGGCTTACCTCCTGTGGCCCACCTGACCCCAAATGTAGGTGGCCCAGCCAAGTCTATTCCTGATGCTTGAGAAGGCTCAATCTCATCCTAAGCCTAGACTAGAAGCTAACCCAGAACCCAGTGAACAGCCTTGGCTGTTCCCCGAGGCTGCCAAACCTAGAAGCTGGCAGCTGGCTTGGGCGTGCCCTTGGCGAAGAGTTTCAGGAAGAGGTGAGGCCAGGACTCTAGGCATTGCAGTGAGCTCAGCCCCTGTGGTTTCTGTTCTGCCCAGCCATCATTGTGCTCCCGCCTGGCCCCTCTGCCTTCCTCTGCCTGTGACCCCTAAGCAGGTCACTTTGTAATTGGCACTGCCAGGCTGGGACTTGTGCCAGTGGGGTGTGAGGTGGTGGGAGGCAAGACAAGCCAGACCTGGCGTGGGTGGTGCCGGAGATGCCTGGTGGGCCCCTGCGTCCCCTTGGCAGGACCTGCCAGCCCAGTATGTTGGAGCTGGGACAGCTCTGAGTAAGCTGGGCCCCTCGTGGCACCCTGTGCTCTGAGCCCCACCCTGGTCCTGGACTCTGTTTCCTCTTCTCACTTGGTGCCTATCAGTCAGCTTAGGACTTGGACAAGTAGTTCTACAGTGCCAGAAAGAGGGAGAACAGAGCAGGTTAAGAGAAGGAGATAGTGATCCTGACTCGGCCTTGACTTAATGACTGCAAGAAGTGTAGCTCGGGCTCTTGGCCTCTGTCCCCCATCTGGGGGTGTGGGCTCCCTCAGGGTCCTTCCAGCCCTAGTGGAGGGGAAAGAATATGGGGCAGCAGTGCTGAAGTCACACAAAGCAGCATGGGATGCCTGACCGCACAGCTGGCTTGGGTTTGGGTAAGTCTGTCATTCCTGCACAGTGGCAGTGAAGAAGCCTATCTTGTGGATATTTGTGGGGTTGGGGGGTGGGTGGGTATAAATAGTGTAATGTGCCAAGTCCTTAGCACAGGGCCTGGCTCTAAAGGGAAAACACCTACTTTTCATGTCTTGGAGTTATGAAAAGCACCCTTGCCCTCATCTCTCCCAGGAGGAAGTAGAGGCCCCTATGGGAGAAAGATCTGCCATAATGAGCATTCCCAGCCAATGGTAGGACTTGAACTTGGCTCTTCCAACTGCAGGCGTGTACAGCCATCTGTCCCTTGACTCCCCGCCTCCCTAACCCTTCAAGGACTGTTTCCTGAGTGGACACGTCCTAAGTCAGCCTGACCCTGGCCCTGCTGCTTCCTTTCTGAACACAGGTCTGCTGCTGCTTGCTGCGTGAACCAACCAATTACCCACCACCTAGACCCCCATCGGGTCATATTTCCTGGCCCATTTTCTATCACTTCTGCCCCCCACACTCTGCCCATAGGGGGGTAGGCCTCGTGGGGACCCCTCCAATGGCATGTTTTCTGTGGTGCCTGCCCAGACCCTGTGGGTTGTGAGATGCTGAGACCTGTGAGAGCTCACACATGTGTGAGCTCGTACTTGGGCTGAGGAAGGTGGATTTGAATCAGTTGTTGCAGGGCTATTGGAACTCCGATCTCCATGGTGGCCCAGGAACTCACCCTCTGTCCCTGTTTGTCCCTCCACACACAGGCCCCTAGCCAGGCCTGTCAGAGCTGGACTCAGTGATTGCCAGGGTTCAGACCCTGGTCTCCAGCCCAGGGTGGCATGCCAGCCTGCTCTTGAACCACATGCATGTTGCAGATGGGGGCACACGTGCGGGCCCGCATGCCTGCCTAGCCCTGGGGAGTGGGGAGTCTGGCAGGAACAGTCCCCTGATGCAATCATCGGCTATTCTCTCAGCGCCACAGAGGCAGGGCTGGCTCCTCGCAGCCAGTCACCAGCGGGCACAGCTGCCAGTCTGGAGGGCACAGGAGATGCATTGCATTAGAGGTTGTGCTTCTTCAACAGGGGTCAGTCATGCTTAGGATGGGGGTGCCCATTCCTTGCACTTGGGTCTGGGAGGTTTGGAGGTTTGTGTGTGTGTGTGTGTGTGTGTGTGTGTGTGTGTGTGTGTGTATGAGAGAGAGAGAGTGAGAGAGTTGCCAAGGAGACTTCCACCCCCCTCCTTCCTCTCCTCTCTAGCCATTGCTCCATCAGTACTCTGCAGCTTGGTCCTGCCCAGCCCCCAGTATCATGTATACAAATTCGGGGAAGGAGGGAGAAGAGCAATGGAAAATGAGAAGCAGAAAGGAAAGAAGATAGAGACTAAAAATGAGATGCAAAGGAATAGGAAAGAGAGGAAGCGTGGAGAAGAAAGTGTACAAGCAGGGAAGGAAAAGATCAAGGAAAGGAGAGAAGAAAGGAGACGAAAGTGGTGGAAGTAGGGAAGAATGGACAGCTAGGAGTGGAATGTAGCTGGGTTGACCCTCACCCCCTGAAAGCCACACAGGCTATGTCCGGAGTCCCGCTGAGAGGCAGGGAGAAAGCTGGCCTACGCTGTCTCTATTCCTTACGTCCTTCTCTGAGTCAGCCTGGCTCTTCCAGTGACACATTACCAAGTCCCTTCCTCCTGTGCTCTGCTCTCCTGAACCTGCTCTTTTTCTGTTTTTTTTTTTTTTTCAGATTTATTTATTTATGCATGCAGAAATGGGGTACAGGCAAGAGGTACTGGGGGAGGTTGAGAGATTCACCAGAGACAGAACAAGAAAAGGTGGATTCACTGAAATACACTGCTGGGGGAGCAGCAGTTGGGTCAGGAGAGGTCTGCGGAGCTATGTGGGTCAGCTCCCTAGCTGGGGAGCAAACTCGTGCCACAGTTTCATACTGCGTCCTTCCTTTAACCTATTGTGCAGAACCTGCTCATTTTCTTCAGAGGGAGGAAACAGGGTGGATAGGTCAGCTCCAAGCCAAGTAGCTTTATCGCCTCCATTAATATCCAGAGGCAGAGAAGAGAGGCCCTCGCTGAGGGGGTGGAGAGGCATCCGACATCCATTAACATGTCCTCAGGACTCATTTGCCTTTTCTTTGTTGTTAATTTTTAAAACTGCATCGCTGTTGGCAGTGGATGAACTGGAGACTTTGTGGTCTGCTGCCCCTGTAGCCTCTGTGATTGCTACAAGCCAGCAACTGCCCCGAGGAAGGTGATGTTCAAACCAGGAGCTCCACTCCAGTGGGGACTAAGAGAACGGCACCCCAAAGATGGTGGTGTGTCCTTCCATGAATCAGAGAGCCCTGCGAAGGGGGAGAGACTTTTGAGTCATCCAATAGTAATAATTGAACATTATTTGCAGCCACGGAGCAGTTGCACAGTGTGAGCCACCGTGTCCATCTCATTTAATCCAAGGCTGGTGCTGTAGGCAGGGGATGTGGTCAGTTATTTTACAGATGAAGAAACTGAGGCACAGAAATGAAGCTGCTCATTCCAAGTGACACATTCTCTAAGTCCCTGGGGCTGCTCTTGTCACAAGAGCAGTTGCCAGTGCTCTCCCTGGGAGATGACCGGGAGGCCTCAGTGGCCACCGAGTCCAGCGTCCCCATGTGTGGGAACCACCCCTCCTGGGGCTGGGTAGGGGCCTGAGGCAAGCAGGGGGCGACGTGGCCCTCCCCACGCGTGGCCACATCTCCTGTGGCCTCCCGCCTCCCCACGCGTGGCCACATCTCCTGTGGCCTCCCGCCTTCCTGTGGCTGGCACTCCTGCCCTCCCGCCCTGCCCGCTACCCACCGGCTGTGCAGCCCCCGGGGCCGGCCTCTCTTCTGCCTCTGAATTGCAACGTTGGCGGCAGAAGCGGGAAGCATATTGTGCGCAGAAACAAAACTGAGTGGTTTTTCCTTTTTCTGAAGGTGGTAATGGTGCAATTAGTAGCTCAGCCATTACCCCCTCCTCCCCGCTCGCCTCCCCGCCTTCCTCTCTGCCTCCCTCCTGCTTCTCTCCTGGGAAGAAGTGGCTGCATCCGAAAGCCAACCCATCCTTCTCTCTTACCCTGACTCTCAGGAAGGGGACAGAATTGGGGGGCGCTCAGTGGACAGAGAGTCAGGATCCCATGGAGTTTGGGGTTTACCCACCAGCAGAAAACATGTCCCACCACTGAGATGATCAGCAAGGCAGTTTGGGGTGGGAAGGGGTAGACTTAGAAACACACAGGTTTTGGATTCAGGTCTTTTATCCATTTGGCACTTGTTCTGGGCAAATGCTTGCGGGGACCTCACCCTCGTGGGCTGTGAATGAGCTCAGGTGGAGGGGTGGTGTGAAGGGTCAGAGGGTCTGTGTCTATATGGAGTGATGGGGACAGGTCCGGCCTCGCACCCTCCTGTCCCTCTTCCAGATACTCTCGTGCTTGCGTGTCCCCAAGACCTCCACAGCCCTTCCCCTGCCCATCTTCAGGGGCCTCTGCAGTAGCAGCTTTGTCCCCTCTGTGGTAGAAAAGGACCAGGAGGCTCAGAGGGGGCAGCGACTCTTCCAGGTTCACCCAGATAACACATCAGAGCTGGAGTTCAATGCAGATCCTTAAACTCCAGTCCTTTCCCTTCTTAACCTTGCTGGCTTGGCGGCGGGGGTACACTTGGGGTTAGTGATGTGGCTTTGGCCCAGAAGAGATGAAGTTGGCAGTATGCCCAGAATTTAGGAGTGTGGGCTTTAGGGTCATCCATGAACACCCCCCACAGGCCAGGATGTACCCCCTTCCCACGGCCCCCTCCCTTCTTTCACCTTGACTTGAAGCATAAGCAGAAACTAGGACATGAGCCCCAGGGGACCAGAACCCCCTTGTTCCCGCTGGACATAGGTTTCGGAAGAGGTTATGGAAGAAGCCTCGGGGGGAACAGCTGTCACACTGTGAGGGGTGCCCCTAGAAGGCAGCCAGGGCTCTCCTTAGTACTTCTCTCTCAAGCTGAGTGTCGTGGGTAAGGTGGCAAAGAGCAGAGAGGAATCAGAAAGGAGGAAAAGGCACACACACACACACACATTGCAGAGGGAACTGATACAGAGACTACAGTGATCAACCCAAGAGATCCCAGTGCATTCGCCATGGCTTCCCAATAAACCTTAGAACCGGCTGTTGCTAGGGTAACAGGGCAATACCTGTCTTTCCAGAGGAGATGAAGTTGCCAGGGTAACTGCATCCTGTCTTTCCTGGGGACCATCTCGGAATGTGGCACTCACTGGCCGTTGCCATAGCAACTGCCTTTTTTGCCCCACTTAATCCCATCCTGCAGACTTCAAGGGCCCACAGTTGGAGGTGGGGGAGGTGGGAAGAGAGATCACTTGTAGACTAAGTTTGTTCTCTTCCCCCTCTCCAAGCCTCTCTCTGGGTCCCTCACCTTGGGGGTGCTGGGTCCGCCTGCCCCCAGCCCACACAGGCCGGCAGTGCTCTGTGCGTTAGGAGCAGGGTGTCCGGGAGCAGGTTTTGCAGTGGAAGGCAGGCAGGTGTTGGGGAGGCAGTTACCGGGGCAACGGGAACAGGGCGTTTCGGAGGTGGTTGCCATGGGGACCTGGATGCTGACGAAGGCTCGCGAGGCTGTGAGCAGCCACAGTGCCCTGCTCAGAAGCCCGGGGCTCGTCAGTCAAGCCGGTTCTCGGTTTGCACTCGGCAGCTCGGGCAGGCGAGTGGCCCCAAATTTCTGGAGCAGAGCAGCAGCACCCCAGTCCTGATCCTCCAACCCCAAGCCTCGTCTGCCCGCCCAGCACCAGGATGGCCACCATCACCTGCACTCGCTTCACAGAAGAGTATCAGCTCTTCGAGGAACTGGGAAAGTGAGTTGCACCTCAGAGTCCTGGCGGGTGCAGGGGTGCACGTCACGGGCGCGTGTTTCTGCGGTGCTCTGTGCACATCCAGGGAGGAAGGCTGCATGTGATTGGGGACACTTGCATGTGCACAGTGCCCAGATGGAGCACAGGCTTTGTGCGGTGCTCAGATGTGCCAGGGCCAGAGGGCGAGTGTGCGTAAGGTGAAGGGTTGACAGTGGGTGCAGGCACACAAGCATATACACACTCACGAGTACACACGACACTGGCACACAGATTCTTAGAAACTCAGGCTTGAAAAGGAATCTGCCCAGTCAGTTGAGCCCAAAGCTGGACTCCCCTGTGGAGTTTCTCTTGAGGTGGCCATCTGCTCTCAACTTGCATACCTCTGGTAACAGAGAGTTCGTCACCTGCCCGGTAGTCGTTACTGACTTTTGATACCTGTAGCAGCCGAGCAGAGTAGCCAGCTTCTCCCTGAGTGCATCCCCGCTGTCACCCTCCCAACTCCTCCAGGAGTGAGGACATCAGCATAGCAGGGGTTAATAGCTGAGTGGCTGGGTTCTTCCTGAATGTTGGGAGGCCAGCGGGGAGGGGCAGTCAGGCTGTCAGAGGGGCTGGTGAGGCCAACAGCCTGCCAGGTCTGCTCCCTGGCGAACTTGTCCAGCTCCAGATCTCATTTCTGCCCCTGACCCCTGGTGTGTGGGAGGAAGGGTGGGGGGACCGGGAGAGAGGAGAAGCTCTTGGGACAGCCCAGTGGCTGCGGAGTGTCAAGGAAACATCCCTGTGTGCCCCCAGCCAGGTTTGGGGAGAACCCATGGATTGGTCCAGGGTAGGAGTGCAGTTTGCAGGTGCTTTGTCCCATAGGTAAAGCAGCTCAGTGCTCTTGATGCTTCCTGCTCTGGCAGCAGGGGTGAAGGCGGGGGGTGGGGGGTGGGGGGGTGTCCCTGGAAACAGGAGGATGCTGTGTGAGGTCTGGATCTGTGAACACAGGCAAGTGCGTCTCAAGTGTGTTGTGTAAGGACTGACTCTGGAGTACACTGTACACCGAAAGGGCGTGCAAGTGTCTGTGTGTGAGCGCCAGGAGGAGGTGGTAGGGTGTGCTTCATGGGAAAGACCCAAAAAGCAAACGTGGATGCACGCAGCGGCCCAGGGGTGCTGTTGGCTCGTTGGCATGGGAGTAAAGGTGTGAACATGTGTCACAAACGGCCGGTCAGGCAAAGGTCTGGGTTGTGCACATTGGTCTGAGTGAGAGGCACGCGTGGGGTCGGGCACAGTGCTGTCCTGAGGTCTGGACACAGCTCGGGAGGGCCCGGGGCGCGCACACGAGCGGGTTTCTGCGTGTGCATGGTGAGCTCATGCTGGTGCCTGCATGTGTGTGGGAGGTCGGTCTGCGACTGTGTGCAGCAGGTTTCCTGTGCATCCGCACACCCGCACACACATGCACAGTCACAGCGGGTTATCCTGGTACCTACAGCATACACAGCTTCCTCGGACACCCACACACCCATGTGCAGACCTCTGCAGACTTCTTGTCTTTCCCGAGTATGTATCTGTGCTGGGGAGCAGCAAGCGTGGCTGCCACCAAATGCTCAGGGTTTCTCTGGAGGATCAAGTGTGTCTGCAAGACTTGTGCAGGGCTTCCTTCTCCAGATGGTTTACTGTGCCTGCTGGAACCCCAAGACTCACTGATTAGCTAGAGCTGCCTTCCAGGGCCTGACCAAGGCTCGGTCTGGGGACTGCGTCACAAAGCGCAGTGAAATGGTGTTGGATGTGACTCAGGCGCTCAAACTGAAAATAAAAGTGATGTTTTGCCCCACGAGGAGATGGGTATCAGGAGGACTGGGAGCTGAGGGGGCGACTTGGCAGAGTGCGTCTTCAGGGGCATTCTCATCTCCCTGCCTCCCCGGCTGGGGTGCTTGCAGGAAAGGCGCAGGGGGTAGAACCAGGGGACAAGGAGCCCTGGTGTGACCCCAGCAGGAAAAACCTGGGTGGCAGATGTGGTGAGGTCTGGTGTAGTCCATTTCGGGCTCTCCCTTCCAGAACTATCAGTGCTCTTAACCTTTTTTAGGTCACATATTCCTCCAGGAATCCGAGGGAAGTCTAAGTCTACAATTTCCCAGCAAAAACACTATGTGATGTGGCTGCCATGTCAGGACATTGGGAAGGTGGGGGTGGGCCTGCAGCTAAGGATACCAGCTCTGAGGAGAGGGGTGCACACTTTGGTTGTAGGGTTACAGAGGCCATCAGCACCCGAGGGGAGGTGGGGGCAAGGCCCTGCTTGGTGCATGGGTTGGGGACCCAACTACCACTCTTAGTGGCCCTTGTCGGGAGTTGGCCCAGCTTGGGGCAGGGATGCTGACCAAGAGCTGGGCTAACAGAATGCAACAGCTTTTCAGTTAGGGAAGAAACGAAAATGCCTGTGGGACCCTGTCTTCAGCAGGTGACCCACGCTCCCTGCCACCGGAGACGCTGCAGTACCACCCAGAGGCCAGGCCCCCATTTCAGGAGCCCACTTCAGATCACTGGCAGGTGACTGGCAGAGACAGCTGGACCTGGCCTCAGGGGAACATAGGGCCTGAACCCCTCTGCAGCACCCCCGCTGCCCAGCTGGAGAGGAGGGCGCAGGCCTCTTGAAGACTCCTGCTTGGTGAAGGCTGGCTCGCGGGCAGGCTTTGGATGAGCAAGGGTAGGCTCCTGTATGGGGGAGAAGTGGCCCTTCTCCCTGGTGGGCAGGCAGCTCTGGGCAAGGGTGCCTCGGGCATTTTGCAGCAGCTGGACAGATGAAGGTCCCACTCTAGCTTGGGAATTTGCACATGCCAGGAACTTGATTCCAGGTACCTGGGTTGTTGTGGTGGGACTGTGTCTCGGGACCCAGGCACTAGCTCACTCCCTCCTCCCTTGACCCTAATTCGTCCTGCCTGGCCTTGTGAGCAGGCCCAGACCCCGGAGCACAGAGGCCTGTGGGAGGCAGCTACAGCAATGTCCATTCTGTCAGGGTGGGCCTGGTCTGTCACCACAACCCCTGGCAGACACACTTCTTCGGGGGATCTCTGAGGCAGGAATGCTGCGAGTGGGATCCTGCGGAAGGGGGCCGTTTCCAGGAGCTGGAAAAGGAGGACGCCTCCTCCCGCCTTTGGCATTTCGGGCTTTGGATCCCACTCCCAGGAGAGCTGGGGCGGCGAGAATCGCCCTGCAGCGTGTGCAATCACTGGCTGTACAGAAAGAGCCTCCAAAGGAGATTTTACTTGAGAGAGAGGGAGGAACAGAAGGAGGGAGGGAGGCTAGAGACCAAGCAGCCCACTCTTTTATCTCTAGAAACAGGAATCTGAAATTGACTCAGGGCGGTGTTGGGGCTAGGGAGGGGGGCAGAGGAGCAGCTGGCTGGCAAGGTTGGCAGGCAGAGGGGTGAGGGGGTGCTGCCTGCCTCTGTGTCCCTCTTACCGCATGGCTTTGCATCAAGTGCTGAGCTTGGGCTGGGTGGTGGGTGGGGGGCACTGTGGCCCAGAGGCGGCCTCTGAACTGGGGTTCCCGGGTCCCTGCTCCTTGTTTTTCCTCTTGTGGCTAAAGCTCTAAAATCAGCAAAATGTGTGGAGCATTCCAGCCCTTCCAGGCAGAGTTGTTAGGAGACAGAAGGTGTAATGTTAGAGAAAACATCTGGGCATGGATGCACCCCCGGCCCCCCCAGACAGTGAGCTTTGATTTGCTTCTATAACCTCTCCCATTTTCAGCACATTGGGCCTGGAGGAGTGTCTCCGTCTATTAGCTCATCTCTGTCTCCGAGGGAGGAGGGCTTACTCATCCATCTCACAGATGAGGAAACTGAGGCTCGGGAGGCCGAGGGACCTGCACTGGGTGGGGGGATTGGTGGCACCTAGACCCGCAGGAGCGCCTCAGCGTGTGTGGGGGCCTCTCCTGGGACTGCGTCTGCGGAAGATCCTTCTCTTGCCCACCGGCACAGGAAGAGGAGTGCTGGCCCTTAGGTGGGAGACTCTGAATTGTGGAATTGTTGCTGTAGTGCCATGGTAATTCTGCCTCTAACTGAATTCTGGGCATCTGGGTATCCCTTATCCCTGTGGGTCCCGACTTTGCCATCTGTAAAATGGTGACCATAACACGTCTGCAGATGCCTGAAAAGGCCCCGTTGCAGTCCCTTGTCGCCTGTGGTGGCTCATGCGGGACATCGCAAACTCCCAGAACACCCGAGCAGAGGACCATAAACACTGTCAACTCAGCGCAAACGTGCAGCCCACACCCAGAAAGAAATGATCTGCCCCCAGGGAGAGGCGGTGGCACAGCCAGGGGGTGCTAAGAGACCAGCTGCTGTGTGGGGGCCAGAGGCCAGGGGATGGGCAGCTAGGGGGCAGCTCCTGACGAGGGGGTGGCAGGGACAGGGAAGGGACAGCGTCTCCACCCCACCCCCAAGCCAGCAGAGCGGCAGCTCGCACATGTTCTGTGCATGCCGCAGCCCTCCGCCCCCACGCAGGCACCCCCACGCAGGCTGAGCCGCACTGACACTGCCGAGCCTCCTCCTGCCCGCCCGCTCCCTGCACAGCACTCAGTGACACGCTGCCAGCACCCTGCAGGCAGGGCCCCGGCCCTCCCGGTGGGAGAGAGCGCCACAGCGCTGGCCTCCCTGGCCGGGCCTGCATGCTCGCACACACGTGAACACACATGCAAACTGGCTCTGGCTGGGCAGCGAGCACACTCCATACTCCAGCGCAGGGGTTGGCACGGTGCTGCCGGGGCTGACTCTCTCCGCCCTTCGCTCTTGCCCTTACTCTGTGTCTTTCCGGGCCTGTGTCTCTCTGTGCCTCTCTGTCCCCTGTCCTCTCTTCCAAGCACCTGCTGCTGCCATCTTCTCTTCTGACTTTTTCTGGGGGCGCTGTCGGAGGCCTTCCACCCCCCCCCCCCCCCCCCCCCCCCGCTGGCATAGCCCCAGGCCATGACCCAGCACAGGGCTCCACTACCTGTCAAGAGTCTTTGTGGCTATAAAGCCAGGGGGACTTCCT